AAAATTAATTTATCTTAATTATAAATAAATATATTTATTTATACAGAAGAGATATAAATTAATGAGTTTTGAGTGATTCCTCCCTGATGTATAATGTTATATATTATGAAGTTAATTTAAGTTTGATTTATATTTGTTAAATATATTTTAATTTAATAAATTTTACTAAAAATAGAAATATTCTACTCGCTCTCTCCCATAACAAAATATCTATTTATTTGTGTCATTATATTTAACATAAAAATATTTTTATATTTTTATAATTTTTTTGTACAAATATAATTATATTAGTATTATAAAACACTAATAGAAATATTTTTTTTTTCCTTAATTTATAATATGTTTTGATATAATATTTAATATGCAAATATAACACGCAGTAAATAGATACAAGAAGGAATAAATAATTGAAATGGGACATGTAAAAAGGTAAAATGAGTTAATTGAAATGGAAAGGAAGATTACTTTTTTTTCTTTTTTTTTTTTTATATCACTGATATTATTATTATTTTTTTTTATCTAAGATACAAAATACATATATATATTATCTCAATCTACTACTATTATTATTAGAAATAAATTGGAAAAAAGTGAGTTAAAGAAACACACCATAGGATTTCATACAATATATGTACCTATATATATATATACATATTTATTAGTTTTTTTTTAAAAAAATCATAATTAATTTTTTGGTTGTAATTTGAAATTTATTTGAAATATAATATTAATTTTAATTTTTATTTAAATAATATTTTGATGTGATATTTGTAAAATTTTCTTATTATTATTATTATTATTGATAATCGTACATAGTTAATAGTATTGATTTTAATTTGAAATTACAAACAAACACACTCTAGATTTTCTTAAGAGTGTGTTTGTCGGGGTTTGGATTTTGAGTTGGGATTTGAATAGTAAAAATTTTGAATTTGAATAGTTGTATGTTGTGATATAAATAGGTGTTGATGTGATATTTTGAATGTAAAATTGATTTTTAAAAAAATATAAAAAATGAAAAATAGGTGTTGTGATTTGATGTTTTTGGAGAAAAAAATGGAATGAATAGCGGAAATCTAATCCAATTCCCCAAACAAACACACCCTTAAAAACAACAAGTACGTTACCTTCTGCTTATTTCGAATTTTATTTTATTTTTGAGATTTTCTACAAAAAATTCAATATGTTTCATCACAAGATATTGACTTCAAACTATGCATATCCAAACTTAATCAAATTAAAAGCCAAAACCAAAAATTATTTGGAGGGATTTTGTGATTTATTTTAAAGTTTAGAATTAGGGTTTGTATGTTTTGTAGTTGTGTTTGAATTTTTTTATTTATTTAAGTTTAAGTTATAAACTCCATTCGTCATCCAATTCTGTGCTCATTTGACCGGCATGAGTTTTAAAAAAAATATGTAAAAATAAAAATATTTACTGGGTAAATTAAAAAAAAAATAGTATTTTATTTTATTTTTACTAAAATAAGAAATGGGAATAAATTAGATGACAAAAAAAAATTGATAATAAATTTGAATAACATAAGGAGTAATACTTTATAAAAATAAATAATATAATTCTATTTAAGAATTGTATGGACTAAATAATGCAATGCAAACTCAACAAATTTTGAGATGTTTTGAAATGAATGAATGAAATGATGATTGAATATGCTTTAGAAAATATAATATATTTCCACAATTGTCTATGAGTTAGAATAAGTCACTAGATATATAACGAAGTACATTTGCGAGTTGGAGTCTTGTATAATTACTTGTCGGGGACACTTTTACGCACAAAGTTTATACATGTATTGCGAATTCTTTCATTCTTCGACAACCATCTTTTTTTTTTTTTTTTTTTGGACCCTTATATACTGATCATCATCACTAATTATTAATCCACTTCACCTATCACTACAATAAAATATCATTTTTGTAACGAAGCTTTTTCTTCCCTAAATCAACTTTTTCCGTTACTAATAAAATTAGAGACGGAATTAAAAATAAAATAAAATTAGCTACGTGAATTTTAGCGATAGAATTCTGTTACAAATATATATATATATATATATATATATTTTTTTTAGTGTATTAACACCCTTGCGAGATCGCCAACATTCATTCATCCATCACCCCGTGAATCCATCATGCAATGCAGAACGCCACTCACCCCATTTCACTCGACATTCATTTTGCTTTTTACATTTCAATTTCTTAGTGTAATTTTTACCTTTGAACGCAATTCAATTCTAAATTTTGAATTCATAAACTTATATGCATTTTTACTTAAGCTTCCCTTTAATATTAAATGTTTCGATTTCGACATTGCATTCACCGATTACATAAAAAAAATATTATTTAATATATGCTTTTAAACTACACATGACACACTTATAATCCATCTCAAAGATAATTCGTAATTTCATATCTCCAAAATTCATATCATAAAGTAAAAATTTTACTAAAAACTTAGCATCAATAGTCTCTCTTTACTTTAGAATAGCACATTTATAGGTTTTGCATCAGTTTTAAGAAATTTATCATCGAAATCTTAATTTATATAATACTTGTTTGTGACATATGTGTTTTGGGCATATAAGTAAGATAGTTATGTTTGTTTGGAACAAACAAGACTTGTTAGGAGGTTAAAAAATGGAAAGACTTTAAGTGGAGATCGAGTCTCTTCGCAAGAATCAAACTTGAAAATTAGTGAAACTGCCAAAAGATAAAAAGATTGTTAGTTGCAAATAAAAATTCCAAAATCTCTATTCATGTACTACTTACTCTCTATGATTGCTCTATTTGATATAGAGCTTGAACAATACGATGTTAACATAATTTTTATGCATGGTGAGCTTAACAACAAAATCTACATGCAACAACCATACGTATTTGTTATTCAGAGAAAATAAAATAATGTTTGTCTCATGAAAAAATTATTTTATGGCTTGAAGCAGTCTCCTTAGCAATGGTACAAACAGTTCGATATATTTATGGTTGAACATGGTTCCAGTAGAAGTAATTATGATAGTTGTGTATACTATAAAAATTTCCAAATGGTTCCTCTGTGTATTTGTTACTATATGTTGTTGACATGCTCATCGATTCTAATAATAAGGTTAAAATTGGCAAAATGAAAATTTTTCTAGTGGTGAATTTGAGATGAAAAACCTTGGAGAATTTAAAATTTTCGATATGGAATTCCATATAAATCGACGAGAAGACAAATTATTTCTCTCACAAAAGAATTAAATTATATTGAGGAGGTACTTAAGTGTTTTAACATGAAAAATGTAAAATTGGTGAGAAAAATCCTACAATAAACTCAGAACGATCACATCCTACATTGGAAAGCAATAAAGTGAATATTTCATTACTTGAAATATACTGAAAATATTGGTTGGTCTTTTAGAAAAATTTTAGAATTTCAGTAGTATTATTAGCTATGTGGATTCTTATTACACTAAAGATTTGAATAAGAGACGATTTTTGATAGGTTATGTCTTCATTCTTTCGGGTTGCCTTATCATCTAAAATCAATTTTATAATCGACTATTTCATTATCTACTATAGAAACAAAGTATATGACAACAACAAAGGTAGTGAAATTTGGTCACCGATCTTGTTTTAAAACAGAAAAAATCACTTGTATTTTGTGATAGCTAAAATGCGATTTAGTTGACTAAGAATCAAATGTATCATTAGAGACTAAGCACATGAATATCAGACATCGCTTCATTCAAAATATAGCCCCTATATATGAGACATCGTTGTTGAAAAAGTTTCAAACATACGTTGATTAAATCTATTGCGGTATTTAAGTTCAGTCATTGTATGGAATTAATCCGTTTATATAGTATGTGTATACTCAAAATGACATAAGAAAAGTTATATTATGAAATTTTCTATTTTAGAGTTAGATAATTTCAAATTAAGTGATTTCTTGATTTTTTTGACTTAAAATTAAGTCCAATTTACTCAACTTAAAAAAAAAAAAAAAAAAAAAAAAAAACGAAATAGCATTTGTCTATGCATGTAGAATTTTGAACTATGTTATATTTTATTTTATTTTAAAATTTTTTACATTATTTTATTATTATTTTATTTTATTTTGTATGTCAATTTAAGTTGTTAAGTACTCATTGGTTTCATAACAATTAAAATATTTTTCATATTAGTTTGTCCATAACTAGTGGTATATTTATATTTTTAATATATACAATAAATATAAATTAATATAATTAAATATAAAAAAATACCGATTCTATGTATTTGGGTAAGTTTAGGTTGTGTTTTCATATTACGACATCAATAATAATGATACAAAAACAATAAATTAAACAGTACAAGGTTTGTTAAAAAAAAATAATAATAAAAATAAAAAATAAAAAATTAGTATTTGATTTGATATTTTATGAAAAAAAATAAAAATTTAATATGATATTTTTTAAAAAATAAATAATACTTCTTCCGTCCCAAAAGATTTGTCTTATTTTTTTATTTTCGTTCGTTCCAAAACAATTGTCTTGTTTCCTTATTCAGTAGCCGTGGTCTTTATAACAAAATTATTCCTACTTTTTCATACTATCCATAATTATTACTCTCACATACTCTTTAAAATCCTTCTATTTTAGTCATTTATATTCTACTTTATTTTCAATTAAATATTATTATACTTTAATTCTCGTAACAGCTCTCGATAAGAAACTTTTTTAAACGAAGGGAGTACAAAATGAATGAAAAAGTGTTATGTAAATAGAGAGGTAACTAGAATAAAAGTAGAAAAGCGACCAAGTTAAATTAATGGTGCGTGGAAGTATAGTGTATGCTTATGTGTGAATGGACAATAAAAATTAATAAATTTAAAATACAAAAAGTCAAATATAATTATTATTTTTATTTTATTTTATTTATGTATTCTCCTTTTCTCTCTCTCTCTCCCTCAATCTCCATCCATCCATTTTTATTTTAAGATTTTAGTTAGTAGTAGTGGTTGCTTCCTCTTCACTTTCCTGTCTCTCTCTCTCTCTCTTACTTTCTCTCTCTTCTAATAAAGTTGTCATAAAAAAGCAAACAAACGCCTTTTTCTTCATCATCATCGTCGTCGTCTTCGTCGTCATCTGCTTCTTCTTTTCTGCTTTCTGCTTCTGCAACTTTACTTTTCTTCCAAGAATCAAAAAGAACACCCACCCCATCATCTTCATCTTCATCTCCATGGATGCAGACAGTGGTTTCAACAAGGATCTCGATCTCGACCTCGACCTCCATTGCACCACCAGCACCAGCACCGGCGCCGCTTTCTTCCTTAATCCCATTCCAATTCCAATTCCTAATTGGGATAATTCCTCGCCTCTTTTGCACCACCACGACCCCGCCGATCCCTTCGAGTCCGCATTGAGCTCCATGGTGTCCTCCCCCACCGCAACCTCCTCCGCCCCCGCCCCCAATAACCTCCTCCGGGAGCTTATTGGCCGCCTCGGCACTATCTGCAACTCCGGCGAGATCTCCTCCAGCAACGCCGCCGCCGCCGCCTCCGTCTACAGCACTCCTCTCAGCTCCCCGCCTAAGCTCATCGACAATCCTCACCGGCAGATCAGGGGAAACCATTCCGCCCTCCAACTCCCACTCCATCTCCCACTCTCCCCCGATCCAGCCTTCGCCGAACGAGCCGCCAGATTCTCTTGTTTCGCCGGCGCCGGATCTCACAACAGCAACAGCAGCAGTAACAGCAACCCAAACCCTAACCCTAAAATGGCAGTTCAAGAAAGCAGGGGTGTCGATCCTCACAAGAAATTCAGCCGGCGGCTCTCGACCCCTGAAAATGTGGAATTCGGCGGCGATTCCGGGGAGAATTCGTCGGTCTCCGAGCAGATCCCCCTCCCGCCCAACGACGCCACCACCTCCAGGAAGAGGAAATCCAATATTCCCAAAGCAAATGGAAATGGCAATGGACAGTCTCAATCTCAGTCTCTGAAAGAAACCAAAGACCCCTCCTGCGTATGTTGCAACAATTTATTAAATTTTCCATTCCAAGTAGCAATCAGACTGATCTAACCTGGTCAGTTGGTAATGATAATCAATGCAGGCTTCCGAGAACAGCGAATCGGGCGCCAAAAGAAGCAAATCAGAAGAAGGGAAGGATAAGGAGAAGATTAATAATAAGGGAGGAGGATCGAAGGATGCAGCAGCAGAAGCTCCCAAGGACTACATACATGTGAGGGCCAGAAGGGGTCAGGCTACGGATGCCCATAGTCTTGCTGAAAGAGTGAGTAGTAGTAATACGCCATTAAAGCAGGATCTTCGGAGTTCCCCTCCTTTCCATTGATCTGACAGTCATGATTCTGTCTCTCTCTCTTGTGCAGGTTCGGAGGGAGAAAATCAGCGAAAGGATGAAAGTACTGCAAGATCTTGTGCCAGGATGCAACAAGGTAGTTGGACCGGAATGGAATGGAGAATTCTATACAGAGCTTGGTCGATGAACAATTGATTGACTTGTGCAGATTGTGATGAGTTTTAGTGTTATGTTATGGTATCAGGTGACGGGGAAAGCTGTGATGCTTGATGAGATCATAAACTATGTGCAGTCTCTGCAGCGCCAAGTTGAGGTGGGTTAATCTAATCGATTGTTGGAAATTAAGTCATCCTGGGATCATAAACTAGGAGTAGAATGAATGGATGTTGATGTTTAATTTGGCATGGCAGTTTCTGTCCATGAAATTGGCTGCTGTGAATCCAAGAATGGAGGAGTGTTCGGGCATGGAAGCTGCTGGTGGTGGTGGAGGATCAAAGGATGTAAGTGGAAATTAAATTAATTTGTTGTCTGAGAATGTATGTAATTAATTGTAAGAAAGCAGTGATTGATTTTGAGTTGAATTGGCAATGATTGATGATGGCTGGCTGGGTGGCATACAGGTGGGATCTATGGGGCATCATAACATGTACCAGCAGCAGCCATGGGAGAGCTATTATCATTCCACAACAACGATGATCAATAATTCTCATCAATCAAACGGGAATGGGAGTGGGATGATGATGATCCACCCTGAAGCTCATGGCAGGAATCCAACCTCACATAATTATCTCCTCCTCGACAATTTCAGCGAAAGCACAGCAGCAGCAGCAGCCTCGTCGCAGGTAATATAAATAAATGAATAAATGTTAGAATGGTGATTTGTAGTGTAGTGTATTGGATTGAAGATGAATGGTGGATGGGATATTATTATGTGCAGATGCAGGAGCAGGTTGAGGTTGAGGTGTGGGAAGATGACCTGCATAGCTTTGTGCAGATGGGATTTGGGCAACCTCAACATCAGAGGCAGACCCCACCCCCACCCCCACCCCCTCATGGTAACATTACTACCCTACTCTAAAAAGAATCATCCTTGATCAAATTGAGCTGGTTTCGATCCTCATATATATTATTACATTGGTTGGGATTGTTATGCAATGCAGGTGGGATTCGAATGAAAGTGGAGCTGTGATTGTTTGATTTTGATGAGGAAGAAGCAGCAGCTTGTCATTGCATTGCTGCTATATATATATAGAACAAAGTAAGCAAGCCTAATTCAATAATCGAATCCATTTGAGGAGTAAGGGAGTGAGCAAGTGTATATACACTATTACATACATAGTGAAAAATGGGGGGATTTATTATGATTATGATTATGACTATGATTATTATCAATTGACAAGGCAAGGCAAGGGAAGGGAAGGCCTTCTTCAATTCACAGCCTGCCTGTTTTTCTGTTTTATCCTTTTCTTCTCTTGTATCATCTCTAATTTGTTGCTACAAAAATGTAATTATGTTTGTATATGGTTTTACAATGAATGTACCAACCACCCTATACATACAGGGATGGATATATATATATATGTATGTATGTATATGGATTTCATTTCATTTCAGTTGAGTTCAAAAATTAAATTAAATTTGTCCCTCTCTCTCTCTCTCTCTCTCTCTCTCTCTCTGTGAATAGTGAATGGTGAGTAGTGAAAAGTGGTGTTTGATGGTAATCCAGTTGAGAAGTGGGATTTGGGGAAGGAGCTGTCTGTCTGTAACCAGCTGTTGGTGCTCTAGTGGGGACTATCTATTACAACTCTCTCTCTCTCTCTAAAATTGATTGATTGCGGGAGGAAGAAGATGATGAGTTGTATGTTGTATCTATATATATATATCTATAGAATAATGGCATTGAGGTGGAATATCCCAAACCTCTCTGTCCCTCACTTTGAAGTTTTGACGTTCATGCCTCCCAACCACACATTTCTTTATATACTTCTTCACTCCATCAAACTTAGGTAAATATTCCTTCTTTTTTTTTGTTATTAATTATGTTTATACATTATTTATTTATACTAAAAAGTTTTATTTATTCAAAATATTATTATTTCTTAATTTTCGTATATACACATATCTATATAATTTTTATGGATAGAGAGAGTATATGTATATATGTGTAATTTGCATTTTTTTGTTATGATGTTGAAATCTATCGCCTCTATTTTACGAGTGGCTTATGAATAAACTTTTAGCTGAACTTAATAACTTACAAACGAAGTTCGACGAGACAAGTAACTTAGACGAAGGAATTTGCATCATGAAAGGGATTTCTTGGGTTCTATTATTATCACTCAATAGATCTATAAATTAAATACTCCAACCGTCCACTTAAATGGTTAACTTTTGCTTAGGTATCAAGTTTTAAGTATTCAATAATTAGTAAGTAATTAAAAAGTATATTAGTAAAAATAATTATAAATTAAGATTAAAATAATTGAATAGTTTACTTAAAATAAAAAAATTATTAATTATGGATTTTAAAATATAATTAAAATGTATAACACAAAAATGGACAAATTAAGTAGAATGAAAGTAACAGTATACACTATAAATAAAAAAAGTATACTCTCTCCCTCTTTAACAATCTATCCATTTTTTTATTTTAGTCCGTCCCATAACACAATATCAATTTCTTTTTTTTAAGTAATTGTAGTATCTACTTAACATTACAAATACTTTTCCAATATACAATATATTACACAAATAATATTACCTTTGTATCATACAATACTAATAGAGTTAATTTAGTCTTTTTACATTTATTTGTACTTTATCCCAATATAATATTAATATTTCTAAAACTTCGTGTAAAATGTAAAATATGGGACGGAGGGAGTATAAAAGAGTATATAAATGCATACAAAAGTTGGTAAAAATTAGAAGAATATTGCAAGTGGTTGGTACTTTATTTGTAGCTACAACTACAAATTTCTGTTTTTTTTTTTTATTTTTTTTTTATTTTTTTTTACGGAGGAGATTCGGTGCTGAATGAAAAAATTCACCACCGATGCTGAACCTCGATAAAATTAATTTACATGATTATAATAATAATAAAATCTAATTATATAAAATAAAATAATTAAGTTTTATGCGTTCAACATTCATGCTGACAATTTGATTCAGCATCTGATCCCACTTCTTTTTTTTTACTATAGTTCATCAACATCTTACATTCAATAATGATTTAACCTACAAATTAAAAACAGAAAAAAAAAAAGAAAAAAAAAAAGAGATATTTCTTCAAAGGAATAATCCATAACAAACTAAACAGAGTAGTTAGTGGTTAGCTTTTAAGACCAGGAATGAATTTAAAATGAACAAGAGGGAGCTTTAGCCAGTATTTTTTTAATTTCAAATTAGAATTGTTATTATTTAGTTCTCATAATTTTTAATAATTTTTTTTTTAAATATCACATTAAATTATTATTGAATTAAAATTTAATCAAAATCAAACAAACCCGAAATAATGGATATTGAATATTAGTATTAGACTAAAGTTTGATACAATAATTAATAATACTTATTTATTTTCACAAAATACTACTGATAATTCTAATAAAAATATTTTATTTTATTTTATCTTATAGAATATTTAAAAACTAAATAAATACTTTATAGTAATACCTTTGAAAGTTATCACTAACTAACAATAAAAATGAAGAAAGATAAGTTATATATACCCAATTATTTTTTGTCTAACAAGATTCCTTATATATATATATATATATATCATTTCACAAAAAAAAAAGTTAATATTTAATATAAAAATAATTTCTTTTCTATTATCAATATTTTTTTCTATACTTCACTTTAAAACAAATAAAAATAAAAATCTCACCAAATCACTAAACAAACAAAAAATGTAAAAGACATGACAACTGTTCTTATTTATTTACTTTTAAGAATTAATAACTTCAACGTTATAAAAAAAAAAAAAAAAAAAAAAATTAAAAACAACTCTAATTATTTTTATCAGTTACCCCTACCCTTGCCCTTAATTAATTCATTCCATTAGCTGTCACTTTCTTTTCATTATTATTATTATCTATATTACTATTAAATAAATACCACTTTACTACCATGTACGGATTATATATATATATTTATTTATTTATTTAAATCCTTATTTTATTATAGGCTCCACAAACCTCAAAACAGCACAGCCAAGGAAGGCCAATTCAAATCCAACACATTTAAATTCTCAATTTTTTTTATTTATTTTTTATTTTTTTTCAAAATTTTTTACAATACAAATACAAATAGAGTGAATGAATGGTTAGAATGCTGATTTGATCAAATATTACAAAAATATAACGTATATTACCTTCTCACTTTCTTGACAATGTATAAATTTTTTTTGGTTCGTCCCATAAAAAGTATCTATTTTGTTTTCCAATTTACAATATATTATACAAATATTATAGTTAGTTTAATCTTTTTATTTTTTTTAGATAGATAAATATGCGAAGGAGGGAGGGAGTATATCTAAGGAGAAGAGTTGGCGACAATGTCACAAACAACCTGTTTTATGGTCTCCATGGCAATATTAAAGAGAGAACTCAGATTGCACCCTATCCCCTTGACATGAAAAAACCAAACAAATAAATGAACCTGAGCTACTACTTCACATCCGGGTCCGGTCCCCGTCGTCGTCTTGTCCCCGTCCTGTCTCATTCGATTGGGCCCCGACTGAACTGAACTGAACCGAACAAACAAACAGCAGCCACAGGCTTAAATGGATTCACACATAGCATCAGCACAACAAGACAACCAAGAATAAAGCCACTTCAACACCTAACCTTACGAGCCGGCGCGAGAACCAACGAATGGAATTTTCTGATAAGCTTTCGATACAAAGGGCCACAACAAAGATTCCTCGGAGCAGAGATTGGTTCACTACATCTTAGTTACTACATGGTTGTTGTTTTTCGACAAACTGTATTACTTACTACTGTGTACTGTTACATACAACAAATGGCACACAAAATGTGATGGGGGACTGTAAAGAATCGAGAGTGTTTTTATTTATTATTATTATTATATATTGCAGCGGTCGTAGCCGGAGAACCATGATGATGGCTCATCTTCGACACCATATGATGGCGCGAATTCCTCTTGCCATTGTTGATCATCGTTGTTGTCTTTATGGCTGTCTTGAGCTCTGATATCTTCTTGCATTATGTGATCGGCTGCGAGCAGTTTGTTCAATTTTTCCATCTCTTTGTAGGCAGTTTCGGTCTCCTGCTCTGCCATCAACGCTCGTTTCTGCATTTGGCATGAAATTATTATGCACAGAAAAGACAGAAAAGTTCGAAGCAAAACAAGCTCAAAGCAAGATTCACAGATCAAGATCATCAAATTTTGACAGGAGCATATGAATACTGATTGAAGAAGAATTAATGTCGAATCTATTTATAGCAAAGAACATATTGCGTCTGATCTTAGCCTGTCTTCTCCCACAAGCATTTGTTAGTGTCTGTTCTTAGTAAGTTTACTGAATAAATAGAAATAATCTCATTGTTTTGATCTGCTGCACTCCAAACTAATGCGGTCGATCAGAACTTCTAGACATTCTAACTCGTGATCAGACCTAGTATTTTGTTAGGAAAATTTCAGTTCTATTGACAAATACGGCACTTTGCATGATAAAATTGCAAGTTTTTAAGTCTTAGTATTGGAAGTAGAGGGAAAAATGAGCAACTGATCATAGAACAAGTGCAAAGGATCAATGTTCTATCTGCTTCGTGAACTTTGCCAAAAATGCTCTAAATGCAGTTCTAGATGAAGGAACTCAAAGATATAGTGATAAAACAAGAAATCAACTATGAGCATGAGTGAGAATCAGTAATCAAAGCAGAACTCACCTCTGCAGCAGCTATAGCCTCTTCTGCTTCTTTAAGCCGCACGAGTAATTCCCCAGCAGCCTCAACTGCTTCAGCAGTATCCTGCAGTTGAGCCTTGAGCCCTTTATTTTCATCTCTGAAGTACTGTCTCTCCTTCTCTCTTTCCACTCTGAGTGCTGAAATTTCAGCAGCTAGAGCATTGATAAATCTAGATTCTGCCCCTTTTACCCCTGCTCTGGCTGCTGCCTTCTTGATATCATCAATTCCATCATGAATCTTCCTCTGCCTGGCGAGCATTTCAATGTGTTTCTCCTCAAGCTCGGCATACTGTTCAAGCATGCGGGCATGGCCTTCCATTGCCATTTGCATTGCTTCTTTCAGCTCTTCAGAACACTTCTTTTCAATATCTAATTCTTGCCTTTGTCTTTGAGTAATTGATCGGTTGGATTCAAGTTCCATTCTAAGTTCTTCAACAAGGGAAATCCATTTGCTCTCTGCTTCGGCCCACAGAATTCTCTCCTGCTCCAGTCTCTGCTCAGCATTTTCAGTAAGATCTGCAGAGGTGGATAAAGCAGGAACCGTGTTTAGCCCGCTAGAGGAAGTTAGCTGAAGGAGAGGCGTTTTTCCTTTAACTAACTCGGCTGAAGAACCAAGATAAAATTGCAACTGAGTCCTTAGATCATGTATTTCTTCCAACAAAACATCCCTTTCTCCTAAGTCAAAGAAATTTTGATATCTTTCAAGTTCATCTTGGACCCTTCTTAACTCAATTTGTGTTCTCAAGACTTCGGGATGATTATCATATTGCTTCTGAAGGATCTGAGCATACAAAATTGAATGTATTAGAATATATTTCTATATTCTTAGAAATTTAGAAACACAGGCGGGGTATGCATACTTTATGTTCATGAGTCAACGACAAGAGTTCCTCCTCCATGAACTCCTCTGTTGGCAATATCCCATCCATAAGACTCTCAAGTCGAGCAATCTTATCTTCACGAGTTTGACCAATTATGGCATTGCACTCTCTCTCATGTTTGTACTGCTGGACCTGCATTTATCAGCAACATTAGAATATATAAGAATAGTTTATATAATATGAAATGCGGTTAATATGCTTAGAATTCTACCAATCGATTAAGTTGCATGATCTCTGCATTCTGTTTGGAACATATCTCTTCCAATGCCATCTCCCTCCTAATAGCTCCAGTCAAAACCTTTTCTACTGCCTGAAAGTTATTGGTTAAACAAAATTTGGCAATAACTTAGAACAGAAAAAATATGTTAAATGTTAAAAAATTAACCGTCACATACTTTGGGAACTTGTGCTTTGCATTTGTTAGGCAATGGTGACTCATTCGCAGGTACTAACTGCATATTCTCGTCAGTACCATCATTAATGAGCTCCTGCTGGAGCCTACTAGTCTTGCATTTGCTACACAGAGAGTCTTCTGTATGCTTTTCCGTTGATTCATCATCGTATAAAACAGTTTGAATGCCTACATCAACTTTGACAACTGGCATAACAGCTTTAATATCAGCTGGCATGCAAGAGAATCTATATGCCGACCGTCTAAGACCAGGACTGTGGCGTTGATTGTCAATAATTTCAAGACCACGATGAAGTGTAGCAGCCAATTGAGCTGATGATGAAGCAAAACAAGATTTTCGGGAGGAGAGAGAATTTGCATGGATACTATTTAATGGCTTAGCAGTAGATTTAATCGTAGTCTTCAAGTTATCTGGAATCAGAAGACCCTGAGAAGCAATTGCTGTGGATGATGTCTTGAGACTTTTTCTATTACTGTTCAATCTTGGTGAAACAGTAGGAGCAGGGGACTTCAGAGGAGGGGACACATCAGAAGGGATGTCACCGACATTAGAAGCTATACCATCACCAATGATATTTTCGGACTTCTCAGGTGTGTTCTCTGCAGCTTCAGCAAGTTGCACTGGGGAAGATTGCTCTGTTGGCTTCCCGGAGATATCATCATTTGGCAAATTTTCAATAACTGCGGAACCCCCTCCATCTTTAGACATTCCACAAGAACCATCATCGGGTGCTACCTCAGACTTTCCCTGCGAGGTCTTTAACTGTCTTTCCAATGCTCCAGGACTGATAGTATTTGACTTGTGAACTGTTTCTGATGTTTCATCTTCCATATTAATGTCTGTGCTTTTGTCATCCTGTCTCGGTGAACATATGTATTTTTCATCTGGCATAGTAGACATTGTTTCATCTGTATCCACTATTTCCATTTCCTCATCGCTATCATCTTCAATATGTGGTAACATCATTGGCCTGTTGAGGCTATATCTCAGTAGATTCAAGCTTCTCCTCGCATTCCACCCAGTTGCATATGCCCCACCCTGACCAGTTTGATTGTTGGCCTTCATTCGGTGAAGTTCATCTCTAAGTTGTTTAATCACTTCTCTTAAGACACTAACATCTTCCTGCATTTCCTCATTAACAACAGCTTTGTTCTTAATTGCTTTAGCTCGTTGCGCAAATCTGAGTGTACTAAGAGTTTCACTCTTACAGCTGCAATTTCATTTGTATAAAACTGTTAAGAGTTGGAGTTGGGACCAGGGAAGTGCTTAAATTGTGAAGAAGGCAAGAAGCATAAACACCTTGGAAAATATCGCACATATTCTCTATAAAGACCAGATTTCAACTAACAGGTCTGAACCAATCTACCAAAAAAAAAATCATGGAAAAAACAGTAAAGGCTAATTAAACATTTTAATTATGTTGCATCACCCTTGCCCCCCACACCCAATAGGAATTTTTTTTCATCCTCTAAATGGTTTTCCCCATCATGCATGTCACCATTTTGTAATCATCATTAGTCATCGTGACCAATGTCTCTTTTCCCTACTTCTATCACCATTGGAATGCCCCATAACAAGTCTTCAGACAGCAAAACCAAGAATCTCCCTAGTATCTCAGTTATGTGTGTGCAGTTAGAATTGGTCCGGAAACTTATAATAAACATGATTGTGTATCACCTTTGAGATGGAGAAATGGCACATATCATTGCCATCTTAGCATTCCCACCTAAAGATTCCTGTAGCAAAAATGTCAACTTTGAGTCTCTGTATGGAATGTGCCTCTGTTTTCCTGTCTGAGAAACTTCAGCCAGGATGTTTATCAAGTTCCTGTAAATCTCAAAGACAATAACATCAGCCATACATGAATGTCATATCAATCTACACTCATTCTATACACTTGTAAGTACACATATCCAAGTGAAACAAATTGTTGCAAAATGCGAAGAATTCAGGAATAAGCATGGCATTTCTGAAATCTTCAAAGTTCTAGAAGTGATATGCAGTACTCTATTCTTGCAAGTGAAAAAAGACAATCTGTGCTATTTCACACACAAAACTAGAATCGTCAAACTAGTGTAGCATTCTCAATTAAAAATCTCATAGCCTATTAGTTGGAATCACAGGAAAGTTGATGTTCTCAATACTTATCCTCTCTACTTGTATAAACTAAATAACAGATTGAGCTGAATGCCATGGTTACCAAACAGCATGTCATTTTTCGATAGTCAGTCTTGACTTTCATATGAAGAGATGTCCAATACTGGATGAACCAATTTGGAGATCATACCCTAGCTGTGAAAGAGACCGATTGATATTCCCTGCTTCCTTCAAGCGCTCACCAGCCGCACCTGTTTGCTTTTGTCTCTCCGATCCAGCAAGATCAACAAAGTTGATTCTGCTTGATCTCATGTGGCTTAAACCATCGGCAGCACTCTGCAGTTAAAGAGAAGAAAATTACCATTTGACCAAAGATTGTTAATTATTAGTTTAATAGTCAAGTCTATTAGAAACAAAGAAAAAACAATTGAAATATGTGAGAGCGTCACATGTTCACCCCAAAATATAAAGGAAGAAGTGAGCCAAGATGACATGGCAGCCTGGTCCACACTTCGCCCATCAACATACAGAGATTCCATGGGCAAGGTAGAGGGCATACCACATGAATTGACAAAGGAAACAACAATATAATCTCAATAAGTGATCTAATTACCTTGCCACGTGATTCAACAACACACGTGAAAACACTGTGGGATCGAGAACTCTCAGAATTAACACAGGTGGCACTGGTTCTACGGTTTGATAACCCCTGCACAGATACATAAAAATCCAGTTGAATGCTCAAAGCCCAGTTGATGGACACAATAGCCAAATGATCATCACTACAACTGCAAGATAAAAATAAAAGTAAAAAGAGAACTGCAAAACCAGTCACCCAACTGAAACACTAATAAAAAAAATAAGATACTGTGCATATGAAATAAATATAATATTATATATAAAAGGATCTTATTCAACAACTTGAATTCATGAAACTGGAAATATGAATTTCATCCTAATAAGATGAAGACTAGCATGATCATCGGCATGTCTCGATCGTATTAATCAAATTCGAAAGCACAGTCTAGCAAACCTTGATTAGAAGTTGTGACACATCCTCCATACATGATGCACACTCCTCCCTTAAATTTTCAACATAAACACCTGCTTTAACATCTTCCCTAATCTGGAACAAGAATACAAGAAAATAAAATTATTTATCTGATTGAATTAAATAGCAACTATAAAAAATTACAGCAATACGTGTAGATTTACCTGGAGATTTTTTTGGCTGGGATCCAATAAATCAGTTATTTGTTCATTGTAGATCTGTAAGTATGATGCTCAAAGTATTCAGTAAGGATAACAGGAGAATGGCCATTAACAGCAAATTTTTAGGTGATCATAAAAGGGACCTCGAGGAAAGAGCAGCGACACATGTACACTAATTGTCTGTCAGATTCTTTTTGTTCCTGAATAGTAAAATTATAAAACTTAATTGTTAAATAAAGTTCACTAGTATGAAAATGTTAATACACATAAAGTACTGTATATGTGAAATTCTTGGCCTCACCTTGTTAATCCGGTCAAAGAGCCTGCGAAAGACACGGGGAGCTAAGCCTTGCTGATCTTCATCCAGCAATGCATTTGATGCACCCCAGATTGTGTATGTCTTGCCACTCCCAGTCTGAAAAATCAAATAAGCTCACATATGAAAGTTAATATAGATAGATATGTTTGTGTGTGACCCTGCTATAAAACCATACTTTTATTAAAAAATGCACTGCAATGATTTCCATAATCAGATATGACCATACCTGTCCATATGCAAAGACCGAGCTGTTGAATCCAGCTAGACAATTTTCAATCAAAGGTGCACCTATTAGCTCGTATATGTCACTCTGCAACACAGTAATCAAAACGAATGATCAGAAATGCTCCACTTGCTACAACAATGTTGTATCAGTTTCTCCAGGCCCAAAAAAATGATCAACAGGAGCCAGATCTTGCCTGCTTTGAGTGAATATCTGCAATGGAATCGAATGTAAAGGTTTGCCCGGATATTGTCAAAGAATCTTCTGTAATTTTCTGAACTACATTTCCTCCATCTTCCTCCTTGTTCGGTGGACGCACACGCACTATTACCTAATGTCATATGCAGTTAAGGTACAAATTAAACACAAATTAGGTTATCTTGTTTAATACTATCATCTGTTAAGTTGAATCTTAAATACGACGAACCAGAATTTTAAAAAATCAGATAGTAGCAGCAGTAAACACAAAGGAAAATTCATACTACCTTGACACCAGAATCCGATGAAGTCCCAGCCGGCGCACAATCGGAAGCGACAGATTCCACGCTGAGCTTGCGTTTGAGTGGAGGGCGAGGGGGGAGCGCACTCTTGGTCTTGAGCACCGGCGACGACGTGGGCAAATTGGGATCTGCAGGCGGCGGCGGTGTCGGCGGAGCGTTCTCCTTGCTGGTTTTGAGCTTCCGGGAGGGCGGGTTTGGGGTAGTAGGCTTCGATTTAGGGTTTGGAGATACATTAACAGCGTCGTGGTTTTCCCTCAAGATTGGATTCCTCGGCATCATGAAATGCTTCATGCCGAATGCGGAAACCGGGGAAAGGAAGAAGGATTGAAATAGGTTGTAGAGCGGGAGGAGACGAAGAAGAAGATGTGGAGAGAGAACAAGAATCTAGAGGCGTAGAGAGAGAGAGAGAGAGAGTGGAGAAGTAACCGTTGGAAGAGAAGGGACAGCACAGCAGAATTTGAATTGAATTTTGGATCTGGAGAGGGAGAGATTGTCGTTCTTGATCTTGGGGGTATTATTGTCATTTCATTTTATTGGAACGGGACTCCTGATCGACATAAATTAATACTACATGTTCATTTTTTTATTTTTTTATTTTTCTTACTATTTTTTATTTTATTTTAACTTCTAATTTATTTTTTTTTCCTTCATATAAATATTTAATACTATATTACTAAAAATTTATGTTTGATCTAATATTTTAAAATTGATATTGATTTAGAAAAGAATAAAATTGCATTTGACCAAATGTCTTTCCATAAAATTCTTCATTTTATTTTTGTTTTTCCAAATTATTTCTCTCTCATTAATTTAATTTCTATTTTACTCCCAATCAAATTGAATGAACAAATATATTTCAAAAAATAATTTATGGTTTATTTGCTCTAAAAAATATATATATAATTTTTAATATATATTTTATTATTTCACAAAAGTTAATATAAAATATTATTTTTTATATTATCGATACTATTCATATACCTCATATAAAAAAATTTATTCAAATTGAAAGAGTAAAAGTCAATATTAGTCCAAATCAAATTCATTATTTTTTAATTTTTAGTCACATTAAATAATAATTATCAAAATTAGTCTCATATAAAATATAAATGATCTTTTTAGTCCCACTGACGAAATATGCTGACGCGGCTGTAATATAAAGTAATGTGGCACACTGAGTATGATCGAAGGCCATGTTGTAAAATAATAAATAGGAATGTCAAACTGTTTGAACACGGTCGTGTTCGATCCGACTCACACGTAACATCAGTTTTTATTACCGTCACGTCAGCATATTTCGTTAAAAATTTAATGGTTGGACTAAAAATAATAATTTATATTTTATATAGAATTAATTTTGATAATTATTTTTTAATAAGACTAATTTTTTTAAAAAAAAAAAAAATTGATTGGGATGAATATTCAATTTTGCTCAAATTAAATACACTACTTGCCTACGTAGCTGTAACGTGGATGTTATGTGGATATTTTATAGTGGGTCTATTAACTCCTATATGCATACACATATGTGTGTGTGACACTCCTGGTACCGGGTCAAAGTCCGGGACTGAAGATCCCTGATATATGTATATATATGTATATGTTGAAACTATGAACGGACATTACACATAATTCGGATAAATCATCTATCCTTTAATTTTTCATACCTCTCTCGTACTCTCTCTCTCTCTCTCTATATATATATATATATATCTTTAAATATTATATACATTAAATATCACACGCATATTCACATATATATATATATATACTTATTACTTACCAACTATTTTATATTGTTATATACTCTCTCCATCCAGCTACAGAGTATACATATTTTTATTTTGGGACGTCCAATTACAAAGTAACAATTTTATTAAATATCCCAATTTTTTCCACAAATATCTTTACTTTACATCACATTATTACTTTTATACTAAAAAGTAAAGGCATAAATGTCATTATACTACTTTTACCTACACACTATAATTAAAATACTATTATTTCTTAAACTATGCGCCAAAAGTAAATGTATACTTATTGTATAGACGGAGGGAGTACAGTTATCATATATTACATCAATATTGATCATAGCTACAAAATTAAAATTAAATTTACAAATCTAAAAGAACACAGCTATCCAAATCTATAAAAACATTTAAATTCAAGCCAACTCCTTTCAAACCATAGGATGTGTCAAAGAAAATAGTAAAATTTGAATTTCTTTTTTTCTTTTTTTTTATTATTATTATTTTGGACTTTCTTAATTGAAAGTATTAAATGCAAGATTTAAGATAAATATCATGCAAATGGCTTATAACCTTCTTTTTTTTTTTTTTTCTTTTTTTTTTTTGGGTATAACATTAAATCATTTTGTGATGATGTGTGATGTTTTGATGAGTATTCAATAATATTTTCTTAATTTGATTCATAAAAATTTTGAGCAAGTATAGTGCACAATTTCAAAAGAATATGCACTCTGTCCCATATATATTTTGGGTTAGTTAGGGTAGATACAAGAATTTAGGTAAATTATATTCTCTCCGTCCGAGATACCATGTCCACGTTGTCATTTCTGTCCGTCCCACGTACCATGTCACTTTCTTGGAAAATGATTACACACTTTAATCTCATTTTAAATTTTTAAATTTTATTTTTTTAATTTTAATTAAACTAATTAGTTATCTTAATCTTAATTTATAATTATTTATATCATAGGATAATTATTTTCACTAATACATTCTTAATTATCTACTAATTATACCCCTCCTAAAATACCAAAGAGAGTAATTAATATGTAATTAAGAAGTGCATTAGTAGAAATAATTATTATTTAGTAAAAATAATTATAGAGTTAAGATTAAGATAACTAAATAGTTTAATTAAGATTTAAAAAATTATAAAATTTAAAACTTAAAATGTGATTAAAGTGGATAATCATATTTTCGAAAAAAGAAATAACAAATTACGTGGGACGGACGAAAAATAAAAATAGGAACAAATTATGCGGGACGAAAATAGTATTTTATACATTTGTTGGCATTTAAAAGTTTAAAATCAATTGAAATATGAGAAAGGATAGAAAAAATGGAAAATAAATAATAAAAGAAATAAAACTTTATTGATGGAAGCTAGGGTGTGTTTGTTTGAGGGATTGGATTTTTCTTTTACTATTCATCCAATTTTTTCTCCCCAAAAACATCAAATCAAACACTTATTTTTCATTTTTTATATTATACTAAAAATCAATTTTACATTCAAAACATCACATCAACACCTATTTATATCACATCATACAACTATTCAAATTCAAAATTTTTACTATTCAAATCCCAACTCAAAATCCAAACCTCCAAACAAACACACCCCAATGTGATTTACTAAAAAAAAATAATATATTATCTATATTTATTATTTTTATATTATTAATATAATTTTTTATATTTCACATAAAAAAAAAATATTTATTCAAATTATTTCACAATATAAAAACACTTTCGGTAGTAATTAATTTGTATGCTTGTGTGTTTGTTTGGGATTAGATTTTCAATCCACTGTTCATCCCATTTTTTTTCCTTTAAAAATATCAAATCAAACACCTATTTTTTATTTTTTTATATTATACTAAAAATCAATTTTATATTCAAAACACCACAATAACACCTATTTATATCACATCATACAACTATTCAAATTCAAAATTTTTATTATTCAAGTATCAACTCAAAATCCAAACTCCCAAATAAACACACCCAATGATCAATTGTTTTTTTTTTTTTTTTTTTTTTGTGGCAGTCAATTTTTTATTTTTGTAAAATACTTTCTTATGTTAATTCTATTAATATTTTTGTTGTTTTTTCAATTGTGCGATTAAAATTAACTAAAATTATTTTTATTATGACTAAAATTGATGAAAGTTTTATAATGAGTTTAAAAATGATGATTTGTTGTTTTAATGAGACCAATTTTGATTTTTCTTTTTCTCATCATTTTGATTTTAAATTTTTATTTACTTGAATTTTATGGCATAATATCATTTCATTGAAGTCTTTAAGGGATTTTACTAGTTTAGTTATGTAATCTTTTGGTTGAGTTTCAGAAAATTTGGTTTAAGTTTGACATTAAAATAATATTTGATGAGATATTTTGTAAAAAAACAAAATAATATTATTTTCGAAAAACACAAATTCCAAATAGTAAAATTTGAAAAAACTGGTTTAAAAAAAGCCCTTACTTTGCACAAACACAAGAACATATTACTTTTATGGAGAGAAAATAATTGTATTGATAAACACTTGAGTATGTTTGGTTAAGGTTTGAGAAGTTGGATTTGGATTGAGTTTGGATTGTTTTAAAAATGAAATATGATTTCTGATTAATTATGTACGGTCGATGATTGTGATTTTGGAATAATAATGTATTGATGAGAGGGAACGATGTAATGTAAAGAAAATATATATATTGATGTGACATAGATATTTATAAATTATTATGTTTATTTAATATTTTTTTTTTCTCTCAATTCAAAATATCTATTTTACTAAGTATCCGTTTTCTGTTATTTTAAAAAAGAAGTAATCATATGCTTAATTATAAATATGTTATTACACATACAATTACTTATATATAAAATCAAATGATTAAAATGCTAAAACTTCTTACAGCACCAATAAAATATTATTATTTTTTAATTACTACAAAATCTCAAAGAACTCCTTTCAATTGAGGCGAAGGGATTATTAGATTTCTTTTTAAACATTCTATAAAATATCCTTAATACCTAGAGTATAGTAAGCAATAACTAGAGTATATTAAGCAATACTGAGATCCCGTAAGGTATAGTCTGGTGGTGCGGGGTGAATTCGTGACCATGGAGTTATGTATTCAAACTTCCGACACTTTTAGGTGTATCTGTCATACATAGTTCATATAGTATGATGAGCCTTGTTGAGCGGACCTAGTGTAACATCAAAACTAGAAAGACGAGAAAGGTGTTGAAAGATCAATTAAAAAATAAACCAAATTGAAGTAAAACACTATCCAGTAAATTCAATTGATATATATATTAATAATATATTGATATGATTTATTCAGAAGATATAATGTTATTTTCTTTAACATTCTAATAATTATTAAATTAGATGTTTTTTTTTTAAATTTCAGTGAATGACCAAAAAGATCTAAATCACAATGTTATAGTTGAAGCATCTTTACACAATTATTATTTATGGGAAATGTGTACGATAAAACATCTTCATAATATGCGATTATTTGGATGTAATACATCATCACAATCACTTCATGAGATACATGAATTTGCTAATTGGATAAATTGGGAGAAGAAAAGTTACCTTACCAAAATTTCGGTGATGGGGACGAATCAAGTTGGATAGAGATACCAGATGCATTTATTATTCCGAATACAGAGAATGCTCTATCTTT